CCGAACCCGGGCCGCCAGTAGCAGAGTGTGTGCACTTAACTGCTAAACCACGGGGCTGGCCCTGGGGAGTATTTTTGAAGTCTTAGATTCAACTTTTAACCCTTCATTTAGACATAGTGACATGAAGCACTGGACATACAAGATTTCTTCCTATTTCCTGGTCCTTTTGCAAAATAGATCTGATTGTAGTATGGTGCTAACACTTAGGGTCCCATTTTCTGGCCATTTTCCCCCATCCTCCAGTGAATATTGAGGCCAGGCTGTGTTACATAAAAAGGTCATCTGCTCTCGGGTCAATGGGGAATACCCGAAGACCTTCCAATTCTGGAGGATGCAGCCCAATGGGCTCTCCTCTGTGATGGAGCCTGTTCCCTCCATATTCCAGGGCCTTCTCTTATGGTCTGTTTCCAACCTCCTGGACGTAACCTATAATGGTTAGTGGTGACGCAGATGCCACAAGGTTGTTCCCAGAGTAGGTTTAGCACCCTAATAGCCTACAACTAGATCCAGGCCACATAAAATAAAATGGGTGGATGCTGGGTTTCACCCAGCGACCATTGATAGGGAGGGCAAGGAAAAAAACAACCTAGGAGTCCAGAAAAGCCAGACTGTGGAAAAAAAAGATTGATGTTGAACATCCTTAACAAAAATGCTATCTTGAGCATCCTTGACAAAAACACACAAACAAACAAATAAACAAAAAGCAGGCTCAGTAACTCCAGAGGAGTTTAACCCCATCCAAGGGGACCCTTCCTCTGATCACAGGCACAACACAGGGACAGACTCAGTGACCTCAGGGCGCCTCAAACCCCCACCTCGTCACTCCAGATGAGACTCAATCTCAGTTTCACCCCTGACTAGTCACCAGGGATTGCTCCTGTTTCACCAAAACCAAGCATCGGTCCTTCTGGAGTTGCCGGGTCATGCAATCCTTCCAAGCAGAGGGGACTCTCACGCCCGAGCCAGGCTACCTCTGAGTGGGGACTCAAACCCCGAAGCCAGGCCCCAGACAGGCTTTGTGAGACAACTTAAGAAAATAACTCTTATAGCCATGCTGTGCGTTGGCGCCGCTCACTCTATTGAGCGATCCTCCAAGCAAAGCACTCAGTGCGGCCACAGGGTCTCCCAACGGGGCAGCGACATCAAGCTGGTGGTGTATCCCCTCTGGGTCACCAATTCTGTTACCAAACCAAGTGGGTTCGCCTCCTGGTGAGTTAAATAAGACTCCACACCAGTGGAAGTTGTCTCACAAAGTAAAGTGTATTTGCAGCAAATAGGAGGCCATGAGGAATCATTTCCAAAGTCATGGCATCCCCAAACAAAGGGAAGCAGGAAATTTTATTTCAGTTGGTGAATGAATATTCAAAAGGGAGAGGCGGGTATTCGCTTGCACAGGCTCAGTTGGAAAATGTGCTTCCACATATTGAGGCCTAAACTCCTCCTGGAGAGATCTTTGCTTTAAAAATAAGGCAAAGGTCATGGGCATAGCTCTTGTGGTGAGGCTTGGTCAGTTTCAGGGTGGTTGGTGGTTATATCTCCTTAACATACAAAAGGAAAAGAAACAAGTTGGAAAAACAGTTAATGGCTTCCAAAGCCACCTTTGAGTTTCTCGAGGTACCTAGTCTGCAACACCCCCTGTCCTGGTCCTGCTAGGGCTTCATCCATGAGTCCACAAGGCAGGGGCCCCCACCCTTCCAGCCCCCAACACCTAACCAGCAGATAAAGGCTACAGGCCTCAAGAATGGGCCAGCAAGTGGGTGCCAGGGGCTGTGGGGGTCCAGAGAGGGGCAGTCACACTCCCTAGGCTTCCTGCAGGGAGACTGTCAGGCTGGTTTCCCAGGAGTCAGGAAGGAGTTCTAGGCAGAGACGCAGGGCGGGTGAGAGCACAGGGTGAGGGGAGCAGGGTGTGGGCAGGGTCCAGCCCCACGTGGTTGCAAAGGGCTGGGGAGGTCAGCGACGCCAGGCCAGGCCAGGCACAGCAAGCAATGTCATTGGGCATCACCTCCAGGCCTGGTGGCTGTGTGCATGTATGCATGAGGGTCATGAGGTGACAGGAGGATGGGGGTCTGCTTAGGAGACTCAAAGACAGGACAATACATGCAACACAAGATCCTTGAGCTCATCCTGGATCAGAAAATAAAAAGATTTAGGACTATTAATGGCACAGCTGGGGAAATTTAAATATTAGATTTATCGACCATTGTTAGACTTCCTGAGTGTGACAGGAGGCCAGCAGTCACCCGGGGAAGGTCCTCATTCTCAGGACAGCAGTGAGAGGGTACGTGTCCAGATATGTGCCACTTACCTTCCAGTGGTTTCCTGTGAAATCTGTCTACATATTATCCGGCTCACTCTAGAGAGGGAGAGTGAGAGCAAATGGCGCAAAATGGTAAAAATAAAAACCCAGGTGAACTGAGATTAAGGCTATATGGGTTTTTCATGGTACTAATCTTTGGAATTTTCTATAGATTTTTGTAATTTTTTAGATAAAACTTTAAGAGAAAAGTAAAGAAAGCCCCCTGTTCTGTGGAGGGTGATCCTGGAGGCAGGGTGGAGTGGGGGAGGGGCTGGGGGTGAGGGGTCCCAGCTGCAGCAGGGTGTGGGGACACCCAGGGTGGAGGCCAAAGGGCTCAGGAGGGAGGCTGGACGGATGCTGTGCTGGGGGACCTGGAGCTGAGAGCACCCCCTCCTGCCCTGGGGACCCCTCCACACACAGCAGAGCGTCCAGAGGGCTGGGCCAGGCTGGGGTCTGTCCCGGCCGCCACAGGAGGACAGGTGGAGGGGGACCTGGCTGAGGAGCAGCAGGCGGGCAGTGGGGCCGCACCTGAAGTCGTAGCTCCTCTCCTGCAGCTGGAAGGAGCTGTGGGGCCGCTGTTGGAGCCCCCGGTGTCCAGGTCACAATCCCAGATGACATGGATGCCCACAGCCCCGTCCTGTACACAGCGCATCACTGCTCTACCAGCACACGGGCAGGGACCCTCAGCCCGAGCTCTCCCGGAACCCTGCCCCACATGGACCCACCAGCAATGCCAGGTTCTCACAGACCCCTCTAGTCGCAGCCACGAGGTCTCTGATGTGGAACACGGGGCACTGGGGCTGAAGCGTGGGTCACAGCGGCAGCACTTGAAATAGGCAGCATCCTGCGTCTCCAAGGGATTGGATCTAGGAGGGGGTGGGGCCAGGGGCTAAGGCTGGGCAGAAGACAAGGAGGTTCTGGGGCAGCCAGGACCCCCCCATGCTGACCTGGAGCAGTTGAACTTGCTGAAGGTGACAGTGTTTTGATGAACAGTGTGAGGTTCTCAGCCTGGAGCAGCAGGGGCTTCCTGCAGGTGGGGGAGGTCAGGGGCAGGATCTGCTGGTCCTGGGACCTGCCCTGGGTGTCGGAGACACTTACACGGGCACAGTGTCGCTCTCCACGGGGCACCAGCCCCGAATCTCACAGGTCCCATGGGTCCCATTGAACTCCACACACTGGCCCGTTTTTATGCCTTGAAAACAAGACAAGCTCCAGGCCCTCAAATCTCCACAGGGCCTGCGGAGGGAGTGGGCAGGGGGCTGTTGGCAGAAAGAAGACACACAGAGGCACCACCAGACCTGCATGTGGGAGCCACCCAGGGTCCCAACACGGCCCCCTGAACCCCCCTCCCAGTGGAGGCGCTGGAAGACAGGACCCACAGTTACCGTGGCTGTGCGTCCCCGTCTCCCCTTCAGGACAGTCCTCGTCAGCCCAGCAGTTCACAGTGGGAGGGAGGGTGATGAGGTGGTGAGAGAGCAGAGTTGTCCAGGCCCAGGAGGTGTCTCCCCTTCATGACCCAGCCCCGCAGTCCGCCGGGACATGTCCCTCCCCTGCTTAGCCCCCAGGGTTCCCTGAGTTTGGGGGCACATGGGAAAGCTGGGGGTGCAAATAAAAGGAGGTGGTCAGAGGGGGAGGGCGAGCAGCCCCGTCAGATCGGGGTGCAGTGCTGTATCCCAAGAAAGAGCGAGACTCCTTCCCTCCTGAGAGTTCTGTCCCCAGTGGGGGCAGAAGTGACTCCTCGAGGCCCAGCTCCTCTGGTCCAACTCAGATGACAGAATAGGGAAGGTGGAGGGACTCTGGGAGGGTAAGTTCATGCCAGGGTGGAGGTGCTAGGTGTGGCAGACAAAGGGCGGGACCCTCCTCATAGGGGCCTGTAGGGAAGTGGGACCCCACACACTGGACAAGGGACAACAGGACACTCCCTTCCCGGCTTGTTTTGCTGTGAAACAGGGACATTAGTGCCTGCACACGGTCACAGAACTCTGGGCATCAGCCAGGAGGGGACGGTGGCGAGCTTTCTGGGAGTCCCAGACCCCGGAGAAGAAGCGCCCTCAAGCGTCAGGCACTTGCACAGACATGGTTCTGCCAAGTGGAGGGTGGACGCCGCTGTCCAGTGCCCCGGGCTCAGGGGCAGCAGGAGGAACGCAGCACCAGGGGGTCAGGAAGGGCTCAGGGACTCTGAGAAGCCGAATGAGATGGTGGGACTTTGTGGGGGTGGGACTGTGATAAGTGGGCAGAGGACAGCGTGGGGCCACCTGCTCTGCTTCACTGTCCCTACCCATGTCCTGAGTCTGCCCCTCCTCTCCACGCACGTTTGGCCACCACCTCCTCCGAACAGACCCCATGGTGACCACCATGGGGCCCCACCTCTGCCCTCATCCACCTCCCTCCAGCAGCCTGAGTGGTCCCTCCCAAAGCACAGACGATCAAGCGCCCCTCCCCTGAGCCCATCTGTGGCTCCCACCACTGCCGTCTCCAGTTCAGCTCCTTAGAGGGGCTCACAGGCCCCTGTGGTCTGGGGCTACCCTCTTCCTGCCCCAGTCCAAATCTAGGCTCCAGTCCCACTCAGCAGCAGGGAACCCTGGAGGGGCCTCCTCTCACACAGGGGCCTTTGCCCACGCAGCCCCTCTGCCTGGACATCCTTTAGATCCCACTCAGCCTCCCATCCTGCAGGAAACCCTTCCTGAGGCCCCGGGTTGGCTGACGTGCCTCCCTGGGTCTCCCAGCTGCAGCTTCTGCCCCATCGCAGGCCCTGCCTCCCTGGCCGGGCTGTGTGTGCAGGAGCTCCGGGAGGTGGGGAGGGTGGAGTTCTGCAAGCCTGGTCTGGGGGAGGCTCGGCAGGTGTTTGCCAGAGGCTGTGACACTACAAGGAGCACAGAGCACGTGCTGGGAGGGACCAGACGACCAGACCCTGAGAGGAGCTGGCAGGAACTCTGCTATTCTCAGGAAGCCGGGGTGTCAGGTCTGATGAATTACCCAGCCCCAGCAGCTTCGAGGAAAGGGCCAGAAGCCCGGCCGTGGGGCAAAGAGGAACCACGTGGATTCCAAAAAGCACAGAACTGTGGCCACAGAACAACTTCAGGACAGTCTACAAACTGCACATCAACTAGACGTCTTCTGAGCATCTAGAAAGAGAGCGACGTGTGTTTCCGAACGTCAGCACATCCTCTGTGCACGTGCCTCACCTCGTCTGTGGATGGGCCAACCGGGGACATGTGATCCCCCAGCAACTGTGGTGGGACCAACGACCAGGACTCAGGGGACAGGGGCCACACAGTGACCCTCCAGCCCAGCAAGTGATTCCATGTTGGACTCAGTTAAAGAAAGACGTCACCATGGAGGGAGGTTTCCAGGGCTATGTCCTGGGTCCCAAAATCCCTCTCCCTGGGTCACACAAAATCCACAACTGGGGAAGTTTACTCGTAAAAATAGTTAAGATGGTGTCTTGACATGAGTACAGCCATGTTTGGCCGCTCCATTGACCTATAGCCACCAGCACAAAAAGAAAGACAAAGCTGCTTTCTGTGTGGTGGGAACTGGCCTTTTCCCGGAAACTGGCCTTTCTCCCACGGAGGGAGTTGCAAGTTGTAACAGTTTAAGGCTCTTGGAGTGTCGTAGCACGGGATGGACTGGCCATCTATGCCGGGCTAAGACGATAACCAAAGAAAACAATGCACGTACACAACTACTGGGCTGGGACATTAGCCAAGGGGCTCAGTGCACATACGCCACTGATAACCATTTGTGCATGGGAACACTGGATGCTTGCTCTGTAAACTCTGTAACTGGAGACTGAGACCCGGTGAGAGTTCCACCTGTGGAAGGGACGCCTTGCCCAGGATATGTGATCCTTGCCCAGCCGTGTCGATTGACAGGACTCTCCCAGCAGTGGGGCATGAATGTTGTGAGTAATTGATTTACTGTAAAGTAACTGATTTGATGTGTTCTCTTTTCGGTCAACCTGGTGTTTCTCTTTCCGGTTGATTTGGGTCATTTCCCTTCAGTCGATCTGGTGTTTCCCTTTCCGATCGATCTGTTTTTCCCTCTTATTATATGACCTATTCGGATCTGCTGCTATCTCAGCCGATGTGGATGTTTTCCCTTTCCAGTCGAGCTGGTGTTTTTCCCTCTTATTATTTGACCTATTCGGATCTGTTTGCGGACTATCGCCTTTACTATCCTCTATATAATAAAATATACCTTCAGTCCATTTATTTAGAGTGAAAAGTGTCTTTTACGTCTCCGATCAAATCCTCAAACCTCTCATAACATAATTGGCGCTGTGAGCAGGATTCGATTAAGGAGATGGCTTTCCTGTTCAAACAAAGGGTAACTGAAGCCAAGGTGGAAGAGATCCCAGGATGGGAGGACCCTCCCTTTTGCACTCTGGCTGGGGACTGGGCTCATAGGTCAGGATTATGTGAATCTTGGGATGTTCTTCTACGAGATATGAATCATTGGAT